CAAGCTAGTAACATGGCAAATTATTAAAATAAGTAAAAATTTTAACATTATCAATGATACCGTAAGAAGTAATCACTAATCCCAGAACTTAAATGCACGAATTTGCATACAACCTGCAATTTTACTCTCAATCAATGATGATGCTGCATACCCATTATTCCACCAAGATAGCACACATTTCTACATTGCAACTTGTACTTACAAATATACATATATGCATTCAAATAAGCCCTCTCGCGCATCTAACATACTAATATTATCACAGATACCCCTATAGCTGCATCATACATAGGCAAATATATATCACATACGTAAAATACATCCTAAAATCAACGAATCACAAAGGTCAATTATTCACCATACCACAAAAATATTTTTGAAGAATTTTAAAAAGGCTTCGCACATAAACATTTATTAAAAATCATTTTTGGGGTTTTTAGAGGTGGGTAAACACCAAGCAAATTCTCTTAATTTTTTTTGCAAATTAACCAGTTCAAATACTCTCTTTTATTGTTTTCCAGTGCTGCCATCTTAATTCTTGTCTTAGTTGCAATTATACAAGTGCAATTCAAAATTAAGTGATTATATACCTAAATTGACACTAGGTATGCAAGAATGCACCCCCCATCCCCCGGCACTAATCCAGAATGCACTCCTGTGATGCACCCAAATAAACGCACACAACAAATTGTCTATGCCCGCTATGCAAGCCGGAAGAAATGGCCATCAGGCCAACCCTTGCAATGAGAAAACTGGGGAATTACCACAACCCCGCCTCACCCCAAACAAAAATCACTGCATTACAAAGAATATAGGCATGGAGCAAAATAACCGGAAATGACCTCCATGTGCCCACCGGTGCGCCTCCCGCTGCCTTGCGGATAGCCCCGGAGCTACCCCGCCGGCAGCCTAGTCACCAGCAGTGGTCGCCGTGGAGGATAGAGGACGGCGGCCAGACCAACGCTTGAATGATCGCGACGCCGGGTGCACCCTGTGAGCCCCGACGAGGCTGGTTCTATGAGCCCCTGGGGAGGCCGGTGTCAGCGGCTCTACTGGATGACCGGATGAACTCCTCCTCGATCGGCGATTGGACCTAGCCATGACTAAACGCGCCCTCGCAGAGAGACCTGAGATTACGGTGCGAGAGAGTGAAGCGGAAGAAAAAAAAAAGGACACTCACTAACACGGCTGAAATACAAAAACGCCCCTATGACTTTGACCGGCCAAAATATATTATGCGCATAATGCACAGGGTACCACGTGCACCCACATTACATGCGATCACAACCATTTGATCATCTAAAATGAACGTGCACAAATAGTGCACAGGTTCACACGAAACCCAAAGTTCACACCTGAACTTTTTCCTATATATATATATATATATATATATATATATATATATATATATATATATATATATATTTATTTATTTATTTATTTATTTATTTATTTATTTACTCTTGTAATCACTTTCTAGTGATAATATATATATATTTTCCATTATTCCCAATTCTTTTGTCATTTTTATATATTTTCCTATTTATATTATTTAACTTCCTATAATTCTCAATTTTCGATTCTTCGCTCCCGCATTATTCCGCTATATTCCTAACAATAGGTTTCTGGGCAGTGTTGAATCCCAAACTCAGAAGCCATGGATGAGTCAACTCGCGGCTGTTGCGTGCATCTCCCTTGCTGCCAAAAAGTTGAAGAGACCCAAGTGCCTCTCCTCCTGGATTTTCAAGTATTGATTTTAGTTTACCGGCGGTGGCTGCATTCTATTTTCAGTTCTGTGTACTTGCTTTGAACGTGGAGTGTTTAATTGTATGTTTGGTTGATTTTCACCACCGAGAAATGATACATTTTAAAATTTGAATCTGTGAAATGGAAAGAAAAACTAATCCGTTGCCAAGAAAAACAAAATTCCGTTGCCTCCGGTGAATCTCTCTCCCACGGCTTTTTTGGATTTGCCGGAAACATGTAGATTCGTGGGAGAAGAAAAATAATAATAATAATAAAATGACTACAATACCCTCATTATTTTACCTATTAATACTTTTTGGTGAAATTTGGCCGGCAATTTGACCGGAATGACCAAAATTGATAAAAATTGGATAGTTAAGGTACTAAATTAACAGTTTTAAAAGTCGTGGAGTGAAATTAACAAGACCACAATAGTCATTGGACCAAAATTGAAATTTACTCTTGACAAAATATTTAAAAACTAAAATTTAGGATGTAGGCGAAAATCCAAAACCGTTATCCAAAAACATACAGAAATAACCACATCAGGAATAGACATAGATTACATATCCATTGGCTTGGAGTAGACACCCAACTAACTTGCACACACCGAACAGTTATAGCGCACAGTTCGGGTTTATAAGTAATTGTAATGTGATTGAAATAAAATTTGACATGTTTTTCTAAAACATAAAGAGCTTAATGATATTAGCTCAAGCCTAATCATATTAAAGTAGATAAGGAACCGTTTAGACTTTGTAAGGATACCTTAAAAGTCGCTTACTTCATTGTCGTTGAAGAACCATTTTAGAACCAGAAGTTCCATAATCGCAACGTGCATGATATTTGCGATGAAATTGTTAGCAACATCTAGGGCTCCTTCTACAATGAAATATTGGAATAGTGTTTAATATATATTCTCCGAGTTACAAAAGAATGTATGATTTTTGATAGGCTACTTGGGTACTGGCTATTTTGTTTGATCATCATGATGCCAAATCCAAAATTGGTTAAACAATGAATTACCCCCAATGTCCTAAATGAGGAAAATAACGCTTGTGTTGCACAAATAATATATGAGTATGTTAAAGAATATTTGACAAATTAAAGCATATATAGCGTCAAAATTCAACTCATATGAGCTCTAGAAGAGTTACAAAATTATTGTGCAAGATATATATTCACTCTAGTGACAATCCAGAAGATTTGTCCAATCCACTTCTATAATTATGGAAATATATTTATGTGTGGGATTTGAAGATTGTTAACTTGACGAGGAGTATCATTTTACATGGATCAATCCTGAAGATTGGGTCTTGAAGACCAATAGTTGTACTCTTTTTCCTCTAATTAAGTTTTGATATTATTTTCTTAAATAAAGGTTTTTTGAGGTAGCTAAGTGCAACACATGAATACACATATCATATAGTACTCTTTTCCTCAACTAGATTTTTCCCACATGGTTTCTTTAGCGAGGTTTTAACGAGGCATGACAGTGATAAGATAATGGCCAAGATGATGGCATTTTCAACGGCCGGAGAATCCCGGTGAAAGACAAGTTAGATTGGCTAATCCACTACGACGTGGAGGTCAAAGCTGCGTTTTCCAAGCGCATCCATCCGGAGAAAGGAACAAGGAGGAACCACGATAATCAAGTAGGGTGGAAAAAACCTGATAGCGGTTGGCTCAAACTTAACATCGATGGAAGCTGCAAGGGCAGCGGAGTGGCAGGTTGCGGCGGTCGCTTCAGAGATGAACATGGGGATTGGCGTGGAGGGTTCACGGCCAACATAGGACGGTGCCAAGCTTTGGAAGCGGAAGCATGGGGACTCTACCACGGTCTGCGCATGGCGAATACAAATGGGTTGTCTAAACTCATAGTTGAGTGTGATTCTAAGCGCCTCCTGGAAAATTTCCGCGGGTCGAAGAGTGAAGCAGATTTTGATAACAACATTGTAAGGAGATGTGCACGGGAGATCGTAAGGTTTAGAGAAATTCAGTTCAATCACGTTTTCCGAGAGGGGAACAAGGCAGCAGATTGGCTGGCTACGGCGGCGCTCGCACATCAGATTGGTTACCATGCGGTCCACGATGTGCCTCTGGAGCTGAGTGACATTATTGGTCACGACAAGCTGGGAGCTTTGTTTCCCAGGCGTCTTTGATTTTTGGGTATCCCCCTCCGTTCTGATGTAAAAAAAAAAAAAAAAAAAAAATGAATACACATATCATATAGTACTCTTTTCCTCAACTAGATTTTTCCCACATGGTTTCTTTAGCGAGGTTTTAACGAGGCGTGGCAGTGATAAGATATTGGCCAAGAGAGAGAGAGCGCTTTATGGCCATTATCCCCATTATTATTGTAGCGGTTAATCTCATTTATGATGATTATTATAACAGTAATCTTTTGTTTATATATATTTGTATGATCGATACAATGATGAATGGAAGAATATTCTTGAGTTCCTTTGTCTTCACTCTCTCTTTTGAGCAATGTTCTGAGTCTATGATCACACAAGATTCATATGTAAATATATAGTAATTTACAACAAAATTGAACAAGAATTCTGGTCAAACGAAGCGGGGAAAAAAGACGCGAAAGATCAAGGTTCAATTTATTTGCATTGACAAAATAAAATAATTCAATAGACTTTCGGCTTTGTAAAACTTATGAGTTTGATTTTTGGACTGTTCAAATATACAGTTCACATTGTCCCTTCTAGCTTTCTTATCTATATATATATAAAGGATGGAAGTTGAATATGTTGTCACGCAATGCCATCAATAATACCTCTTCATCCTTTATAATTTTATAGTCATACTGAAACTCTATATATCATGCATATATTGGATTGAATGGTAAATAATAAAAGATTAATGATTCTCTTTGTATCATGTCGTTTTTCTCTACTTTGTTGGAAAAATAGCATCAAAATTACATTTTAAGTAGCTATTTTGTGGTATAAATATATGTTGGGTTCACTACTAATTTGAGTTGAGTCAAAGTAGATTCTGTTTCTTTGTAGTGAGATGAAAAAATCATTATATTGTACGCTCAAAACAAATAATGGGTGAATGTGAGAAAACTGGGAAAAACATTTGTCCCACATTAATTTTGAAAGTGGATTTGCATAGTATATATACAATTACCTTTCATAAGCAATTTGAATTTTAGAGTTTAGAGACGCTCACTCACGTGCACGGGAATAAAAAAAAATAGTCATATCATAATAATAGTAGGATCAAACGGGATTACATTAGGAAATGCGAAAGAAGGATAGTAAGTGTCTAGCTTTCTTAATTATTCCGTAATTACTATTACATTTTTATTTTTTAAACACATTAAAATTAAAAACAAAGAAAAGCAAACAACACTATATCTTCTTCACCCTTTGAGACTTGGCCAGCCTTATTTCTAGTCCATATATTGCAAGTACTACACATGATGTTGAGACTTGTTTCTGAAATTAGTTGCATATGGGACTTCCATCATTGCTATAGAGTTGACAGCCTCGAGCTTTTGCTGTGCAACAGTTTTCACATATTTCACGAATTTGAGTGGTACTAGGTGGACAAATCATGTAGTCTGCATCTGGGTCACAATTTCTAGGGCATCCTTGGGCTTCTGCTTGATCCATGTTGGATCCTAATACAAGAATGCCTGTTACACAAACATTCATATAGTAAGAAATAATTATATTACTCCATATAAATTTTAATTTGATAGTAAAAAATTTGGATAGTAGTTAATGATGAGGATGTGTTAAACATATAATATATAAAACATAAATGTGCAATCTAATTATCAGTTTAAACTTTTAGTGGATATATATATATATATATATATATATATATATATATATATATATATATATATATATATATATATAGAGGAAGGTTCAGGTGCGGCGATGTCCTTAGGTGCGGCGTCACCAATAGTACAACAAATATACACCATCAACGTTAGGAAAATGCACCACAAAAACACATTCAAATTAGGTACGCATCACAAAAAACACACCATTAGGTGTGAGTAAAAACACCATACATTGTTCAGAAATACACTATTGGGGTGTGGTGAGTTATATGCTGTATTTTTTGAATATGTTGTGTATTTTTTGTATTTTTGTTGCATTTTATTGTGGTGTGTTTCCCTTACACTGTTGGTGCATGTTGTTAACACTGTTGGTGTATTATGAAATTCCGCCGCACCGCCGCACGGAAAGACTCCGCCGCATTTGAACTTTCTTCTATATATATATATATATATATATATATATATATATATATATATATATATATATATATATATTTCAACTATTTCAATTTGGTATCAGTGTTAGTCATGTAAAATAAAGGTTAGGGCTGGGCATATAATATATAAAACATAAATGTGTAATAATAATAATAATAATAATAATAATAATAATAATAATAATAATAATAATAATAATAATAATAATAATAATAATAATAATAATAATAGTCATGTAAAATTAAAGGTTAGGGTTGGGCATATAATATAATAATAGTCATGTAAAATTAAAGGTTAGGGCTGGGCATATAATATATAAAACATAAATGTGTAATAATAATAATAATAATAGAAGAGAAGAAGAAGAAGAAGAAGAAGAAGAAGAAGAAGAAGAAGAAGAAAGAATTACACATTTCGTCCCTAAGTTATAAGGTAATTGTATGATTCGTTCCTACTTGTTGATCGTGCTCACTTTTCGTCCCTAAGCTATAATTGATGTTGTAAATTTCGTTCTTTTTCTAACAAAACATTAAGGACAACGAAATTTGTAACGTCAATTATATAGCTTATTAGCTTAGAGACAAGAAGTGAGCATGACCTGCTACAAAAATGACGAAATTTATAACACCAGTTATAGCTTAGGGACATGAAGTGAGCACAACTAATAAGTATAGACGAATCCTACAATTATCTTATAATTTAGAGACGAAAAGTGCCATTTCAATAATAATAATAATAATAGAAAATTTTACATTCGAAAATACAGAAGACGTTGAATTATTATATTATAATGTGTTGTTATAAGTAAAAACTTTTAGTAGGTAAGAAAAGAAGAAGGCATGAAGGCATACCCCAAACGACGAGGAGAGTGAGGAACCCAATTTTGGAAGCTGTGGCCATGATATGATACCTTAACTTCTTCGAACTTATGATCTAATCTCTATACGTGATTGTTTGCTTGATGATCTGAGAAGCTACATTAATACCCTTTTTATACCAAAATGTTAGTACTTCAATGCATATCTAGGTTATTAGATAAAAATTCCAAGCCGCCTTTGACTTTAAATTCGGGTTTGTTTATTTATTTATTTCTATCAATATGATGGGTCAAGAGTAGGTGTTAAATGAATTACGTACTATCAATTAATTGAAGAGTACACAATAAAAATTATTATCTCTTACAAATATTCAATACTATCTGTCATACTTATTATTAATTAGTCAAATTAATTTTTATTTTTTTGTTTTTTTTTATAAATATGTTTTACTTATTTTTAAATTTAATTTTTGTGTTTAATAGTACTTTTAGTGTAATTTCTAAATATATAAATTTTGAATACTAATGTCAAACTTAATATTATGAAAAATTGAATTTAAAATAAATTCAGTCAAATCACGTTACACATCAAACGAGTTGTGGAGAGTAATATTTAATTGAGTCAATTGACTAAAGGCTGCAACATGGGATTAAATAGAGTCCGTAGATAAGAATGCCAGCAGGGGTAGATACAATGCGACGTTTAGATTTGGACAGTCCGAAAATCAAAGTCGTATGTTTTGCCAAAACCAAAACCGTACGTTTTGCCAAAACCAAAGTCTATGAAAATCGAATTATTATAGTCTCACCAAGCAACTAGATGCATGGAGCCTTGATAATCATGCACGTGTTTTTTGCTATCTCCCTTTCTCCATAAACTCGTAGGTATTAACCAATATTATACATTTTTGGTCTAAAATTAGATTCGATTAACGTGACTTTAGTAAAGTTATTTACAATTAATTTTTTTATAATATTAAGATTAAGATTAGAATTAGTATGTGTAAAATATCAGAAGATGTCAACAAAAATCAGCTAGAGTTAGTTACAAAATAGCAGTTAGTTTGTTGTAATAGATTAGCAGTTTCATATCTGTATATATAAACCTTTTCCTCTTGTGTTGAAAGGAGTTAGACAAAATTAGTTCCTAATACAGTTTCTTCTTCTTCCCTTTTTTTCTTGTTTTTACTTCCTAAACTGTGAAATGGTATCAGAGCCTTGATGGTCAACAATGGCGTGGAATATGCCGTCTGTCAATGCCGCTCAACAACAAGCAGGTTCCAGCTCATTTCCCCATCCGACTGCCACGAATCCAGCTCCGTCCTCTACACTCCAGTGAACGCAATGAATGCCGGGAATCAGGTTTTCGATCCAAATGATAATACTAGCCCATATCATCTCCATATGAATGAGAGTCCTGCGATGGAGCTGGTATCTTGCAAACTAGACGGAAACAACTATCACGAATGGGCAAGAGCGATGAAGGTAGCCTTGAATTCAAAAAATAAATTTGGTTTCGTTAACGACACAATCAAGATGCCGAGTATAGAAGATCGGAAGTTCTTTTATTGGGATCGCTGCAACAACATGGTGGCGACTTGGATAACTCATGTGTTATCACCAACAATTGCTAGAAGTGTCCTGTGGATTGAGACAGCAGAAGGAATCTAGAACGACTTGAAGAAGAGGTTCAGCGAACATGACATATTCCGAATTGCTGAGATTCAAGCTGAGATCTACCAAACGAAGCAAGGAGATAGCAGCGTGAATGAGTATTTCACCAAATTGAAGCTGTTGTGGGATGAATATCTCATTCTGAGACCTGCACCTGCATGCATCTGTACTCAAAAGTGTATGTGCAGTGACAATATCTTAAACCTAACCAGAACAAATCTTGAAAATGATATGTTGTTATGTGCATTCCTTATTGGATTGGATGAAAAGTATACCGGGGCAAGGAATCAAATCATGATGATGAGGCCCCTTCCAGATGCAAGTGAAGCCTTCTCCATGATCTCTCAACAGGAAAGGCAATTTTCAATAGGATTTAACAATCCTATCAATCAATTTGCTCAACTAAATGACAACTTGTCTGGGAGTGCAATGCGGGCCAGAGGAGATAAACATTATACCAACAATAAACCCAAACTGGTATGCAGCTACTGTGGATACACAGGACATACCATCGAGAAGTGTTACAAGAAACACGGGTACCCCCCCCCCCCCCCCCCCCCCCCCGGGATGGAAACCTAGAGGGAAAAATGTTGGATCAGCAAATCAAGTTCAGAATAGCACACATGAGAGCAGCATCTCTGTCAATCAATATGGATACAAGAGGTATCTTGAATTTCTTGAATACATGCAGAGAGAAAAGGGCACCCCACTGGACACGAAACAGACTGGAATAACACCTCAGGCCAACATTATAGCAGCAAATTCCGTGCCAAACATTGAAGTTGAAGGTAATATTGTTCTTACAGTTTCCAGTGAATATAAGAGTATGTGGATTCTTGATAGTGGTGCCACACACCATATAGTTTGTGATAGAAATTTACTGACTACCTCTACAAAAGTCAGTGAAAAATATGTAGCTTTACCAAATGGAAACAAGGCTGCAATTACACACATTGGTTCTGTTCATTTGTCCAGCAAACTTGTGCTACAGGGTGTTCTATGTGTCCCAGTGTTCTATTACAATCTGATCTCAATAGGTGAATTGGTTAAGACATCAGGTTATCATGTGATAATGCATTCTAACAAGTGTATAATACAGGATCCACACCTTGGGAGGATGATTGGTACAGCTGAACTGAGAGATGGCCTGTATCACCTTGATATATCAACTTCTTCAAGTCTGAATTGTATTCCTGTAGTGAATTCTGTGAACAGTGACATTTGGCATGTTAGACTAGGACATGCTTCTCATGCAAAAATAAAGTTTTTGCAGTCTTTGAATGTAAATATAGATGCTGGTAAAGACAGTGCTTGTGATTGTTGCCATTTGGCCAAACAGAAAAGGCTCCCTTTCATTCCTAGTAAATCCTCTACTGTTGATTGCTTTCATTTGGTGCATATGGATATTTGGGAACCATATCATGTCAAAACATTGTCTAGACATCAATATTTTCTCACTATTGTAGATGATTTCAGCAGGGCTACTTGGGTCTATCTAATGAGGGGTAAAGATGAAGTAAGACAGCTTGTGCAGGGTTTTTGTGCCTTAATTCATACTCAATTTGGAAGGGTAATTAAATGTATTAGAACAGACAATGGGAAGGAATTTTCAATGCTAGAATACCATATGCAGATGGGCATAATACACCAGACCTCTTGTGTGTATACTCCTCAACAAAATGTTGTGGTTGAGAGAAAACATGGGCACATTCTATCAATAGCAAGGGCCCTTAAATTCCAAGCTAAGCTACCTGATTTTTTCTGGGGTGAGTGTATATTGCAAGCTGTATATATCATCAACAGACTACCCTCAGCAGCTCTTGGCAACAAGATACCCTATGAGATCCTATTCAACAAAATGCCCCAATATCATCAGGCAAAGGATTGGGGAAAATGAACCTGACATTGAAAATGAAGCACCACCTCAGCCCCAACCAGATCTGAGAAGATCAACCAGGCAAAGGAATGTACCATCTTACCTGGCAGATTATGATTACCAGAATGGCAGATCCTCTCCACACAATTTGGCCTCAGTTATACCACATGACAGATTGTCACCTTCTTACCAAGCCTTTGTGATGAATATTTCCTACACCAAAGAACCAAAAACATATAATGAGGCTATAGTCTGATTGTTGGAAGCAAGCTATGGCTGCTGAAATTGAGGCTCTACAAGCAAACAAAATAAGGGAGCTCACCAATCTGCCACCTACAAAACAAGCTATTGGGTGCAAGTGGGTGTACAAAGTGAAACATAAATATGATGGAAGCATAGAAAGGTACAAAGCTAGACTAGTAGCCAAAGGCTACACACAAACAACTGGATTACATTATCTTGACACTTTTAGCCCAGTAGCCAAAATCACAACAATCAGGATACTCTTAGCTGTTGCAGCTGCCAAGGAGTGGAACCTACATCAATTGGATATGAACAATGTCTTCCTCCATGGAGATCTCTATGAAGAAGTGTATATGACCTTACCACCAGGGTTTGATGCCCCAAAACAAGGTATGGTGTGCAGATTAACAAAATCTCTTTATGGTTTGAAACAAGCTAGCAGACAGTGGAATGCCAAACTTACTGCAGAGCTGATTCATCTTGGTTTCAAACAAACTGTGGCAGATCCTTCCTTGTTCATCAAAGGAACAGGTGACAACTTTATTGCCCTTTTAGTTTATGTGGATGATGTTGTTCTAGCCAGTCCAGACAAGATACAAATACAAGAAATTAAGGATCATCTTCACAGGGTCTTTAAGATCAAAGATTTAGGCCCTCTCAGATTTTTTTTGGGTCTGGAAATTGCTAGATACATGAATGGGATTTCAGTCAATCAAAGGAGGTATGCATTGGAATTGTTGGACAGCACTGGGTTCATGCATAGCAAACCAGTCAAGTCTCCTATGATTCCTTCAATAAAATTGAGCAAATTAAAGGAAGTGGCACCATCCTGGATGACATTTCCCAATATAGAAGATTAGTGGGCAAGATGTTATATCTCACCATTACTAGACCAGATATTAGCTTTGCAGCCTAACAGCCATCTCAGTACTTGGATTGTCCCACAGATATTCATATGCAAGCTGCACACAGAGTCTTGAGATATATCAAAGGTGCTCCTGCTCAAGGATTATACTTTCCAGCAGCCAACCAACTCAATATGAAGGGATTCTCTGATTCCGATTGGGCAGCATTCCCTAATACAAGACGTTCTGTTTCTGGTTTCTGTATGTTTTTAGGATCAGCTCTAATTTCCTGGAAATCCAAGAAACAACAAACTGTTTCTCGATCCTCCTTAGAAGCAGAATATAGAGCCATTGCTGCAGCATCCTGTGAAATACAATGGCTAAGTTATTTGCTTGAATCTTTGGAGGTAAGGCTTGAAACACCTGTTGCGCTATTCACTGACAACAAGTCTGCTATGGCCATCGCTGAGAACCCAGTTTTTCACGAGAGAACAAAGCATATCTAACTTGACTGCCATCTAGTTCGGGAAAAAATACAAAAAGGAGTTCTGAGGCTGCTTCATGTTCCTACTACCAGTCAACTCGCTGATGTCTTCACTAAGCCACACATTCCGACTACCTTTGATAGCTTCATATCCAAGCTTGGCCTACATAATATGAATGATCCAGCTTGCGGGGGGATATCAGAAGATGTCAACAAAAGTCAGCTAGAGTTAGTTACAAAATAGCAGTTAGTTTGTTGTAATAGATTAGCAGTTTCATATCTGTGTATATAAACCTTTCCCTCTTGTGTTGAAAGGAGTTAGACAAAATCAATTCCTAATACAGTTTCTTCTTCTTCCCTTTCTTTCTTGTTCTTACTTCCCAAACTGTGAAATAAAATGTATATATTTAGTAATTATATTAAAAGTATTATTAAATATAAAAAAAATAAAATTAAAAATTATAAGAAAATGTTAATAGAAATAAGTAAAGAAAAAAAAGTTGGGTTGACCAATGAATAATGGCCATGTTTGGTTAATGGCAGATCCGTCATTTTTTTGGCAGATTCGCCATGTTTGGCTGTTTGACCATGTCAAATCGCCAAAATTAGTGTTTGGTTAGGCAGCTGTTTGGAGCAGTGATTTACTCCAAACCGCTGCTTTTGCAAACGATGCAAAGAGCAGCATTTGCAATGAGCATTTCGGGGAAAATAAAATTTTCTCCAAAACGCCCCTATTTATTAAAAAAAAAATTAACTTTTTAACTAAGGAGCCGAAACGGGTCCTCAATGTTGCCCATCCACCGAGATGGGCAAAAAGTTTTAATTTTTATGCGTGGACTTGTGGAGCCTTGGGGCTCCTTAAATAGGAGCCTCAAGGCTCCATTCCCACTTTTCCCACCGATGTGGGACGGTGGGAAAAGTGGGAAATCAAGAGGGTAGCAGCTTGCGTTGCTCCCTTCTTCTTCTTTTTTTTTTTTTAATTATTTTTTTAAATTATTTATTTATTTAATTATTATTATTATTATTGAATGACGTTTTTATTATTATTATTATTATTATTATTATTATTATTATTATTATTATTATTATGTATGCTCTTATAGGTCATTTTACATGTTAACCGCTAATCTAAATCGCTAATTTTACCAAACACTTTTTTACAAACCGCTAATACAATCTGCTGGTCAAACTCGCTAATACAATCCGCTATTTGATAACTGCTAACACAATCCGCTACTGCTAACCGCTAACCGCTAATAACCAAACAAGCCCAATAAGTAATAAGATAGATAAAATGGATAAAGGGAGTTTTTTTTTTTTTGCCAAAATTAAACTAGCTTTGCTACCTTTCTGAACTCCTAAAAGGCTAAAAAATCATTTTTTTTCTCAAAAAGACATTCCTTATTTCTCGTACTAAAGTTTATCATTTGTATTTCTATTGGTAGATGTTGGATCTACAGTGCAGTCCTGAGAGGATTTAGCGTACCTTGACTTAGATAGTTGGATTAATTCCTGGTAACGTTAAATGATAAAACATCTATTAGAATACATCAACACATGAAATACAAGGTCTATTGTTTAATTGGCTAGTGCATCTTCTTAGCGAAGTCGATAAATCTCCTAAATATGTAGGTGCATGCCTGCAAGGATTATATGTTGGAAAAATATATAGCTTAAAATGACATATTAAGTGGCTATTTTATGGTACAATTATCAGTGGGGTCCACTTCTGATTTGGACCGGATCAAAGTTGATTCCACTGCTGGAAATTATGTAATTTCCGACCACCTGAAAGTGATCTTAAATCAAGTTGAAAATAAAAAATGGTCAGAAATAGCAACAAAGGTTTTTCCGGATACCAAAAGTGGTCGGAACAGGGCTTTCGACTTGATTTAAGATCACTTTCAGGTGGTCGAAAATTTCTAATTTCCAGTAGTGTTCGGATTCTTCGTAGTGAGGCGAAGAGATTGATATATTGTACGCTCAAAATAGATAATGGGTGAATGTGATATTGATTCTCAAAGTAGACCCATTTGAGTTGGAAAAGTGAAGGGAAAAATCTTGGGAGTAGCTTTTGTCCCACATTGGTTTGAGAAGTGGATTTGCACCACTATTTTTACAATAGCTCTTCTAAGGCTTATTGAATTGTATAGTGCAAATGCATTCTCTTGCGTGCAGGCGTTGAAAAGCAAATCCCAAACTGAGACAATAATGACAATGTTTTCGAAAACTCTCTACTTCTACTCCATTCTTTGGCCTACGTTGAACCGTAGCACGTTTTATCCTAAGAAACCTAGGCTACAACGCTCTTAGCATTTGTGGGATGTAGTAAATAATGTTTTAAGGAAAGAGTGATTCGCTTGACTCGTGCTAACAACCTACACCAAACCCGAGCCATATCTCTTCACCATTTTCTTCCCTTTTATCATAAAATAGTAATCCTTATTTTGTAGGATTATTATTGAGTTTTGCCAACGAAATATCCAACACATTATTCCTAGCAGTGTTCAATATATATTGGTTTGAATAATTCCTTCTTCCTACAAGTGTTGCTACAAGATGGGAATAAATATACTCCATATATAGATAAGAAAGCCAGAAGGGACAATGTGAACTGTAGATTTGAACAATCCAAAAATCAAGCTTATAAGCTTTACCAAAACGAAATTAAAGTCTATCGAATTATTATATTTTGTCAATGCAAATAAATTGAGCCTTGATCATGCACGCGTCTTCACACACCCCCCCCCCCCCCGCTTCGTTTGACCAGAAATATACTATATATCCACTCGAAGAAAGTTAAATATACACATAAAAAGAGAAAATATGCACCTAAAGACAAAAAAGTATACGAACTTACTTAAACAACATTATTATAATGTCACTGTATTTTTCTAAATTTTTTTTCATTCTGGACTATTGATTTGGACTAGATCAATGACAGGGGAGGGTATGTGAATAGATTTGTAAGATTTTAAAAACTTTAACGTTTCATCAAGATGATCCGAAAGAGTCACTTCTTCACAAATCAACAATTAAATTTAACCCTTTAATTTTTAACTTGTAGCATTTAAAAAATAAGCTAGTAGTTTCCTAACTTTTTTTTTTTTCCATCTTTTTCCATATTATTTTAAATAAATGACATCATTTATCCCTCCCAATTAAAACTCTTTTATCCTTATTATTTTAAATATAAATAAATGACATCCTTTTTAATGTTTTTTCATTTATCAACTTATTAAAAAGTTAATTTTACCAAACACGCATTTTTAAGCATAATCAACTAGCTTAACAACTCTAACTTATAGATTTTTAACTTCCAACTACTTTTCAGCTAAATTTGTCAATATATATAACCGAAAAAAAAAAAAAAAAAAAAAAAAAAAAAAACCACTTGAAATTACTTACGTAGACGGTAGACAATTAAATTAAAAAAATAAGATTTCAACTCAATCATACATATAAGTACGTCTTGCTGCGATCCCTCCAAATCATATATATAATTTTTAAAACCTGTTTGCAGGCTGCAGTTTTGAACAAACGTAACGTACAAAGTCAAGAGTCGATCGATTTAGACTTTTCGTAACATATCACAATTAGGTAGGATTTGTTAAGTTAATTTATATTTAATCTATATTCAACTATAAATTCTGCTGCCAATATAATAAAAGTCAATTCAAGCCAAATATGATGAAATTTATTAATTTATTCACTTGCGTGCATCTCCAAATGGCATGCATGCAAATTAATAATGCTAGTGAAACTTATCCAATAATTCTAGATGCCATTGTGTTTAATTGCTATAAATGGGCATGGATACAACCTAGGATAACATCTCATTCTCAAGCTAAATATCATCATCTTTTCGATCATGGCTAGTAGAAAAGTTGGTTTCCTCGCTCCCCTTATTTTGGGTATGTGTTATGCCTACACTCGTTCAATTCCAACCAAAGATTATGCAATCTTAAATTAACCAATTTTTCATACATTCATTCAAACTAGAGTTAGAAACGGATAGTTGAACTATATTTTTATTTTTATTATTTATATATATTATGCTTACGTGTACATATTAAATTGAAATGTGTTACACTTGAATTACAATTTTGAAATTAAATTTAGTAATTGAATTATTGCATGTTTATTGTTTATATAGATTATGCACAACAACACTAAATTTATAATGGTTAGAAAAGTCAATTTTATCGGCCTCCCCTCCTAGCACCCGCTGGTCTTAACTGCTCATGTTATAGTTCATAGCAAGACACAACAACTTTATTTTCTTATACTGCCACACATTTTCGAGGGCTAGACTGTTGGACTTGGCCTTTTACCGGCCTCCACCCAACAATCTACCTCCCTACTCACATGGTGCTGGACTTGGTCCTTATCAGCCTCCACTAACACTTATAAAAGTAGTGTACTAATTTTGGCAAAATTATGTACAAATTATATTGCAGGAATTCTTTTGATGGGGAGCAATAATGTGGAACATGCAGAGGCCCAAATCTGCCCTCAATTCTGTGAGGCGGATCTAGACTACATGATATGCCCTCCAAGCAATGAAAAAATCAGAGACATATGTGAAAATTGCTGCACAATAGGAAACTCTGGCTGCCAACTCTACCGCAAGGATGGATCCCCTATCTGTGCTTGATCATATCTTCCTTAATTGCTTGTTAATTAATTCAACGCAAAATGAAAATATAATCAACCATATCTTCACAAATATATGCATATTTAATTAAATAATATGGTTGTACGTACTATGAATTGTTGTTTCAATAAATGAATAATAATAATAAAGGTGTTTCTCGTCCATCTCTACATTTTTAATTAATAAGATTTCATTTGATTAATTTGTAGCCTACATTGTTAGTTGCAAAGTGTTTGGGCAGAAGAAATTAAAGAGATCTCATTAAGAAAAATGTATTTTATTCTCTGATGATGTTTTAATTTGGACCTTAATTATATTTATATTGTATGCGAAAACATATATATTGAATTTGAGCATGGGCTTAGGATAAGGAATAAAGGATTATGCAATATAAATAAAATGCAGATAATATCAACGAGATACATTCTTCCAAAAGGCTGAACCCCAACCCTAATGGCATATCAATGAGATACATGTTTGTTAACGTGGTTGCATTCACAAGGAAGAAGTCCATATCAAGATCAATTTACTTGCATAATTAATTACAATGACACAGAACACTTATACAACAAGATCACCTCCTGATATTCATTGATATTGTTCAAAAGTAACGCTTGAAATTGATAGACACGAGTCTTCGTGCCATAGGATCCCTCATGTCTTGATAAAAGTGAAACTCACGTTGCTTCGTACTCCGGTCTGAATAGTTCGAACTAACACACATCATACTCAAGGTTAGATTGAAGTCCCTTTTGCCAAGAATCCCTCTTGAGTATCGTTTTGCACCAGTGCCTTTACATACTATTGGCTATCTCCCGCACCCTCTAAACACCCAACACTTTCCCTTATATACTTCTAAAACACTAACACATACAAGGCACCTTCTTTCCATATACAAGATAAGCGTGTTGAGACTTAGTCAGTTGTTAGTTTGTGTTAGTCTAGTCTTGTGGTTTTGGTGTAACTACTTTCATTTTTCTATGCTCTGTACTTTATTTATTGGGTGTTTCTTGCAGTGAATAAATTAATTTTGTTCTAGCTCTCATATGGTATTAGAGCCATTACTCTAGCGAGAGTAAAACATTTATTAAATTATGAATTTTCTATTATGAGATTATGAATTTACAGTTATGTAATTATGAATTTTCTGTACATTCATAATCTCATAATAGAAAATTCATAATCTCATAACAGAAAATTCATAATTTCATAACAGAAAAATTCATAATCTCATAAAAGAAAAACATTTATTAAATTATGAATTTTCTGTTACGAGATTATGAATTTACTGTTATGTAATTATAAATTTTCTGTACATTCATAATCTCATAATAGAAAATTCATAATCTCATAACAGAAAATTCATAATCTCATAAAAGAAAATTCATAATTTCATAACTGTACATTCATAAATCCATGCCTGCACATTCATAATTTATCAGTGTTGAAGAAACTTGCACGAAGAGGAAGTGAAACAGTAAAATGTGAATATGAAGAAGAAAAGTCGCGCTGTTAATTAAAAAAGAACAAAAAAAAAAAACAAAAGAAAAAAAAAAAAGATTGGTGGAAGATAATAGTGCCCGTAGGCACCGTTCAACTGAGCAAGAAGAAAACTCACATGTCAAACCTTCTGACCGAGTAATGAGAAAAAGAAGAAGAGTTGATCCCTATGAGGGAGCAGATCCTAGAGCCAAAACGCCTGAAGATTTTCCCATCTCTGTGGGACCCCCCAGAGGGACCCCCAATATCCCATGTAACACCCCACTTTTCTTAAACTTAATTAAAGTTCTAAAACCATATTAAGATAACTAAGCAGCGGAATATCAAACTTAATTAACAAACTTAGTAGGAATGTCACCGCCACAACCACCTTCCCACGATGATTGGACAGGCTAAGGGTAAAACTAAACATCAAGTCAAACTAACATCCGAAATTTACTACATTAAAGTAACTTGGGGAAAAGTACCCTGGTGTCTATCACCAACAAAACATAAGGTGTCTACATCTATAATCTTAAAAATAACGATAAAAGATCAAAGAGTTTAGACTACATAGCAACGTAACTAACTACACTAGTCTAACTCGAGCACTCTCAAGAGCTAGGCCCACCTGAAAGGGGTTTTGCAAAACAACAAGTAGACAAGTAGAAAACAGCCGTTAGCACGAAGCTAAGTATAACCACACTCAACCTTGTAAAATATTACAGTATATACTTTGGAAAAACATTTGTTCAAATTCCCAAACTTAAGCAATCTCAAACATTTAGACAAAACCTTAATAAAAACCACAAAGCTTTCTATATGCTCACAACCTAATTTATCAATAGGCACACCTTAACAATAAACAGCTTATCAACATGCTCCTACCAACACATAATTAACAAGCAAAACTCAACTTTATGGAACAACTCCTTAACAATCTCATGCTAGCAAGATTTCATTATGCAATTAAGTACAATCAAATACTCAATATACGATCTAACGAATTCATATCATGTAAACTCGTGCAACTAGATATCAATATGCAATCTAGTGCAAACTTCCTCGATATGCAATCTTGTGCAACATTCTTGACATGCAAACTTGTGCAACACTAAACTCAAATGCAATGAAATGCTATAAGTATACATATATTCTCGTTGTAAATAGAGTACTTTTGTGTGGAGGTTTCTTAGAGGCACAAGGACTCGCTTGCTTTCATTTCTTAGAGTCGCAATGACTCGCTTTCTTTCTCTTGAGTCGCAATGACTCACTTTCTTTACAAATGGACGAGGTAGGAACTTCACCGTATCGTGAACGAACCTATCTGGGCACGGCGTCTGGCTGACCTAATACTCATCTCGTCCACCGAATCACTCTCTTGGTTCTATGCTCAACTCTGTGGAATCAGGTATCGAACTTTCAGCGTGCACACCCCCTACCAGGATTCCAAGCCTGGCGGGAAGTTTTCAACCTCGTAACGTGGGAATACACTGCGTTACAAAACAAATTAAAGGATCTCAATATCCGGTCATCATCATTCGAAAGGACAAACTCCCAACGGGTCCTCCAAAACCTCACTTATATGGATACATAATATATATATATCTCTCATGCACCAAACTTATGCATGTCACATCTCAACAACTTCTCAATGCAACAAGGTAATGACATACCACATGCTCATGAATTTTGGAAAATAATACTTAGGCTCATGTAAGCCCTTTATGCACTTATAAAACATGATATGCTTGGAATTTAATTTACGGTACACATGCTCCAATTCTAAATATCACTGTGAACTTTCAAAGAGCACGCAATCATGCTTGGATTGAAAAATAACATACTCTGTACATTTCTACCATCAAAACAGACTACAATTTCCATTGAACATAATACACACTCTAGTCATGCTTTTCTAACAACTCTCATTCACAAATTGTTCATGCTTCTCTATTTAATACCCAAACAGCATCAGGAAGATAATAACAAGCAAATCCCATAGCCAGTGCAAGTCTGATGAACTCATATTAGCATTACTGTAGAACATTTCATCATAATTTCTATCATAACATGCTCATTTCTAAACCAAATTCAACGAAATCAAAGGCCAAACATGCGTCATAACGGCCCTAAGGTATCGAGCCACAAGGGCCCGTAACACCCGGTCCGAAACGACACGTAGCTGAGCCACAAGGGCCCGACTACTGCACAGGTAACCTTCAACGATCCTAGCGGCGGGGCTAGGGAAGTCCCGCCGCCTGGAACCGTCCGGCGGCGGCCTAGGGCCACGACCCTTGCCTAGGGCCGTGCCCTAGGGCCGTCTAGCCACGGCTCTAGCCAACGGCTCCCCTCGTGGGCCGTTGGCTAGGCCCGTGACTTCCACTGGTGCACACAAAGAGGTGCACCAGTGGCTCCTTCTTCACCTGCAATGCAAAACCAGACAATAAACCACCTCCAAATCAACAACAGCACATCATACAACATCAACAAGACATCCAAAAGCTCAAACACATAACATCCTAGCATTTCTACTCATTTCTAGCTATTTCACAGAGGCTTCACAAAGCCAAAACTAAGCTGGGAGTCCATGGGGTTATACCTTTGAAGCTTTCACCCTTTAGCTTGGATTCCACCTTCTTCCCAAGCTAGACACCTCCTTCTTCACCTCCTAAACAACTCAAACAAACCAAACTCTATTTACTACAAGTCCTCATAGACAAAGCTAAGGAAGAAAATGAAGGAAGCTGATGGTTGAAGGAAGGAAAGTAGCTTACTGTGTTCTTCTCTTGATGCAGATGAATGGGAAGCTAAGAATGGAATCAAGAGGCAATGTCTGATATGTGTGTAATATATAGGGGCTCTAAACCCTAGGAGAATCACCAATGATTGGGGCAAAAGTGGAATTGTAAGGCTGGAAACATGCATCAAACAAGGCTTGGAGGGATGTGGTTCACCATGCTACATGGACCCTGGTCCAAAATCAGGATTTAGAATAGTTTGGGGTTGGAATTGAATTTCTCTAAAATGATTTCTAGTTAGGCACATGATTTAGGCCTCTCAGATTTCTCACGGTTTCACTCATATTGAATTCTCAGTTTAAAAACTTGTACACGAAGTACCCAAAAATTTAGAATTTTAGAATTAAAATAAGCCCCGGTGTTGAATTCATTTAAAATGTAACTCAAAATAATTTATTCAAACACAAAATTTATATAAAAAATTTTTAATAGAGTGAAAATGGCTATTTTGGAATTTCTTAAAATCGGATTTATAAAATTAAATTTTGGGTTGTCACATCCCACCACCAAGAAAATCCAAGATTGCCAAGGAAAAACAACAGGAAATAGATGAGGAAATGAGTTGGGAAAACAGCTAGGAAAGCACTCATGAAATACCTAACAAGCCCCTGAAGAATACTCCAAGGACCAGAAGTAGACAAAAAAAATTCTCTTCTAAAGAAAAAGGGAATAAGGTTGTAAAATTGGATGTTGAAACCACACTTCCAACAACAGAGCTAATTTCACCTTTAAACATAAAATTTCAGGATTCAACTTCAAGAGAGCTGTGGAGCAGGAACACTCAAAGAAAAATCATCCACCAAAAATTGGTCAACCTGGAAAATCTGGAAGATGGAGAGCACATTGAGGAAATTATCATTCAGAGCAGGTTGCTAGATACTCTCACCAAGATTGAACCTTTTAATGATGAGGAAATCCAAAAATTTTACAACAATCTCAAGTCAAATTCAACTGCACCTTCAAGCTCTGTATATGGAAAAGTATATTTAAGAGCTAAGTTCTATGATTTCACTCCTGAGGTCATAAATTCCATCTATAACACTGTCAACCAAGAAGAACAGCTCAAACACAACAATGAAATCATAGCCCAAGAAATTACGGCTGGCAATGTCACTCTTGAAAAGAAAAAAATCAAGGCAGCCTGTCTAACAAGCAAGCATGCAATCCTACAGAAAATAGCTTTAGCAAACTGGATGTCATCATTTCATGAAAACACAGTAAAGTGGAGTTTAGTAGAACTTTTGTATAAAATAGGGAAATTGGTCAAGATCAATTATGGTGAACTAATACATCATCAAATAATGAATCTAGCCGAAACCACGTCATCCAAAGCAACCTTGATTTTTCCAAACCTGATTCATACCATCCTAATAAGCCAAGGCTTGAAGGTCACTAGGAGTAAACTCCAACCAGTTAAGACTCTCACAGTTTATGTCAAATTAAGAAAATGGGCACACCAGAATGACCTAAGAACTACTGTTCCAAAAGATGATCCCATGAATAAAAACCTTCTAGAAAAATATTCTCAGAAAGAGCTCAAGGAGTTGAACGAAGCAGAGAAAGCTATCAAGCAGAGGCAGCTAGAGATTCAAGAAAAAAGGGTTGAAATCATCAAATGGCTAGTCGCTTTAGGTGGAGATACAGAGGAAGAAGCTGACTTACATGGAAATACAGAGGAAGAAACCCAAGGAGATGGTCAGGAAGAAAGTGATTGAATTTACAGAATCAACATAAAGTAGCACAATTTTTTGTCAAAAAAGGGGGAGAAGGAACTGGAGGAATTGGCTATATTTGCTATGAAGGAACTGGCGCTATGAAGGAACTGGCTATATTTGCTATTTACTTTTTGCTGTCTAGAAGAAAAAACCATGATGGCTGACTATTCTGCTGTCTGGGTGACAGAATTATCAAATTATCAGTTTGTTGGTTCACAGTTTTTTTTGCCAGGCTTATCAAACTTCTGGATATACTATCTTACCTTGTTTCTATCTGAAATGGTCAAGAAATGTGAAATACAGTCTGCAAGGACTTAGGGGGAGAAGAAATTAAGAAGTCAAGGTTTTTGCCAAAAATTTAACAAAGGGGGAGAGTGTTAACTTCCAAGGGTCTTGTCAGAATCATTGGCAAAAAGGATGTTTTCACAATCATTATCAAAAAAAGGCATCATCATGAAAGATCAACTAATCCCAAGAACTCTAGGATTATATGTAGACAAAGCTAAATCCCAATCAAACTATGATTCATAATACAATTGAACTTATGATTACCAATTAGCTATATAAAGAACGTTCAGAAAGAGAGATAAGGGTGCGATTATACCTTTGTAATCTGGCCGAGTGCATACAGATCCATTGAGAGAGAGAGTCTATCACTTTGGAGTAGTACTAGAGCTAGGTTTCAATAGATTATGAGGGATTACGAGATCTATTGTGTAAAAGTTTTCTTTTCCTAAACTCTGTACTTTTGAAATTGCTCATACTGGATTTAGGCTAATTCTCAATACGAGAAGTGCCTCGTAGATTAGGGTATTTTGCCCGAACTGCGTTATAATTTCTTTGTGTTACAACTTACATTTCAGCATCACTGTGTGTGTCGATCCTTAAAATTCTTCAACGACCAACAACACTCAATCAACAATGATAAACAGAGCTCAAAGCAACAACAAACAAGGCTCATCAACAACAATAACCACGACACACGACTCGTAAAACGGTACTCAGAAACATCACCCGAGACTCATAAACACCAACCGGGGCACAACGGGGCACGGGGAAACAACAAATGGGATAAAACAGCACCCCGCCCCGCCTGTACCAGCGGGTGGTGCGGCGGGTGGCCAACCACCTGCCGGCGGGCGTCACTGTGCCAGCGGGTACACGGCGGGTGGTCGTCCACCCGCTGGTACGGAGGACGGTACCTGCGGTTGGTCAGGTAGGGGTTCATCCCCCCACTGGTACGACGGTAACTTGGCATCTTTCCCTTTCGAGAATTCATCAATTAAACCCGAAATCAAGTCCAAACACATTCCAAAACATATCAACAACGACGTGGACTCAAACAACAAGAATTAAACCAAGAAACACCACAATTATACCCTAAACACAATCCCTAAACATGCCAAGACTCGAGATTAATCACATAATGGTTGAAGAGTATCAAGAACCTCAATATTATCAAGAAATCTAGATGCAAAACCCTAAAAGCAAGCCCTAACCTTGAATCAACACCCGAGCATGCATAAACCCACCCAAGGACACCAAGAAAATCGTAACAACACGATTTACAATATAAACCCAAGGGACAAGCTCTAAACACAATTGAATACAAGAACATACCAAAACCACACAGGGCCACCAAGAATAACAAGAATCCATATCACAAATTCCTAAAGACAAGCTCTAACAAGGCACAAATACAAAATCATACATTCAATTGTTCAACGGAGCCAATCAATAAACAATAGCAAGGAAAATAGGTTTTGTAAGACATGGGTTACCTCTTAGCCTTAATCAATTTTCCCTTGACTACTAAGGTCCTTCTCGATTGATCATCCTAGGCTCGGTGGTGGGGAATCCCTTTTGCTAGGTTTCTTGGGCAATTCGTGTATTAGAGTTGTGAGAGGTGAGATGGTTCTAATTGCTTTCTAATCCCCTATTTATAGAGTTAGGAAAATCCTAATTAGAATCTGAATGGTAGAAGGTGTACACTCCTTGTTCTTATCCAGCTTAAAGTCTTTAATACAGACGAGGGTCCACGATCCATGGTGGACCGTACTAATTAATTAGGGGGAATCCTAACCAAATTAAATCTCTTTTTAACCATTTATTAACGGGATTAATTCAATAATTAATCCGGATTTGAAGGCCGTAACACGGGATGTTACACCTTCGTCTTTCATATTATTGTTATTCATTTCATTTGTTAGTTGTTTTTGTTACTTGCCTCATCCAAATCCTAATTCACACTATATTTTGATAACATGAAAACCCCACCTTATGGGCTAAAGTACTTACCTGATTAGTTAGTCATATACTATGTGGGATGGCCTCAATAATGATATCCTAAGTGGACTAACGTACATATATGCGATTGTTATACCATGGATGAGAGTTCAGTTTGCATTCTGGACCCTAGTATAAAATAACATTTAGATTTTGTATCTGTAGTTAACATATTATGTTCTTTCAATTAATTAATAAATTATGTATTTACTAAAATTAACATATTTTGTATCTACATGTAACATATTATGTACTTCTAGTTATTATATTATGTACATCCAATTAATAAATTATGTATCTATATATTACAATCTGTAATTATTAAACATGATGTACTAGTTGACATTTAATTAATACTCCGTATAAAGCAATGTCATTTTAGACCAAGATCCACCATGAAAAATATATCTTAGGCTCGGTTTGGCAAACCTAGCTGAAAAGCTATAAGCTAGGAGCTGAAAGCTGAAAAGGATCTGAAAATTGAAAAGTTATAAGTTCAGAGCTGAAAACTGAAGAGATGTTAAGCTAGTTGTTATGATTGAAAGTGTTTGATAAAATTAGCTTTTTGATAAGCTGATAAATGTAAAAAGACTAAAAAAGACATCTTCATAAAATTTAAATTAGTTTGTTTACATATTAAAATTTAACATTTTGTCTTTGAAAAAAAAATTAACATTTTGAAATAAAACTATTAGCATAATCATGATCTAGCATCTCATAATGAAGTAGCAATACTATTGCAAATCTCATAATAATAATAATAATAATAATAATAATAATAATAATAATAATAATAATAATAATAATAATAATAATAATAATAATAATAATTGCGGTGAAAGTTGCAGATAAAGGAAAAGAGAAAATGATTTTAATTAGGAAGGGTAAATTATGTTATTTCTTTAAAATAATAAGGATAAAGATGAAAAAAAAGTTTGGAAGCTAGAAGCTTATTTTGAAACGCTACTTAAGATAGCGTTCCAAAATAAACTCTTATTTTAAGCTTGGAGCTTATTTTGGGAACATTACCAAACAGAGCTTATAGCTTATTAGTAGCTTAAAATAAACTATAAGCTCCTAAATAAGCTCTGCCAAATAGAGCCTTAATCCACGATATAATTTGTTGGATTTCGTAGACAAATTTAAATTTATTAATGTACCGTTGTATATAGCTGTCCCATAAATCTACAAATTGAAGACAACCGGCCCGTTGGTCACAATTTTGAAAGCAAAACGATATTGATTTAATTGACATTATTTATGGCGCAAATTATGCCGTGGAAACGTGTTCACCATTCTTGGTGAGCACAGTCCTAAACGGCATCGTTTTTATCGGGAAAAAAGTAAAAATTAGTTAATGTACTGTTAACGGTGTTTTGTATTCTATGTTCAGATTATGAATTTACATTTATTAAATTATGAATTTTTTGTTATGAGATTATTAATTTACAGTTATATAATTATGAATTTTTTGTACATTCATAATCTAATAACAGAAAATTCATAATCTCATAAAAGAAAAAACATTTATTAAATTATGAATTTTCTGTTATGAGATTATGAATTACAGTTATGTAATTATGAATTTTCTGTACATTCATAATCTCATAACAGAAAATTCATAATCTCATAAAAGAAATTTTCATAATTTCATAACTGCACATTCATAAATTATGAGTGTTGAAGAAACTTGGGCGAAGAGAAAGTGAAACCGCAAAATTTGAATATGAAGAAGAAAAGTCGCGCTATTAATTAAAAAAAAAAAAAGATTTGTGGAAGATAATGGTGCCCGTAGGCACCGTTACCGTTTGGAACTGTATTCACCATAGATGGTGAACACGGTTCCATGGCATAACGGTTGTATTTATGGTATGTAGAATCAAGACAACAGGTCTGTCCAGAAGAAAATACACAATACTATACACAAAACAGAAGACTAAATCAGCCGTAAGTATTTGTTTGTACGTGATGATTACCATGAACGTTTAGTTAAGTTCCGAAAGGTTTTGTTTCCTAGGTGATGTTGCTTTGTTGTGCTTTGCTCCACCTGTTACGCTGCAACACATGCCATCTTCCATCACATAGGAAACAACGACAACCATAACAATAATAATTGCGTTTACGAGAGGAGTTATAGTCAATGGAAGCTTACTTTTTAAATGCTTATCACAACATACATTTTTCGTTCCTATAAATTCAGGTCTCGGCATGTTGTGGGGATTAACACAAATTGACTGAAAACTATTAAAAAAAAAAAAAAAAAAAAGAGCCGGAACGGGGGAAGAGCTGATGCATTGACGGCGGCGGAGTGCAGAATTCTGGTGAATGCGTTTGCCCAGTCATTACTCATGTACTGGTAATACGGTACATCAGCCAAGACCCTAACTCTACCACAAAAGCTAGCTTATGAGTGGAGGTTTAGCCCCAACTTAAGTACCACTCCACAATCTCTTGTGGAGCCGATGTGGGATCGTATCAACTGGCGGCCCTCATCGATGTCAATTATGCTATCAAGGTTATCCAAGGTTGTGGAAGGCAAGTGCCTCGCCATTTCAAGTGTGGAAGTAAGTTCCAAAACAAATTCTTTTTTTAATTCTATGCAACATTGATTGCTTTGTTTGGTAGAGTTTATTTCAGAGTTTATACCTTATTTTAAAATACAAATATGTTATAATACCTTTGTTTGGTAAAACATAAAAAGCTTAAAATAATATTTTTTTCCATTTTATATGTCTTGTTAACTATTTATTGGTCAAACTAACACTTTTTTATTTGTTTATTTTCTTTAGTATTTTTTAATCATTTTTAAATTTGATTTTTTTTTGGGTGTTTTATAGTACTTTTAATGTAGTTTCTAAATATAAAAATTTAATATACTAACCCTAAACTTAATATTGTGAAAAATTGGATTCAAAATAACTTCAAACAAAACTGGTTCATCGAACCTGGCACATAAAATGGGACAGAAAAAATAACTTATTTTGAAATACTACCTTAATTTGCGTTTCAAAGTAAGCTATTCTTAATTATGGAGTAATTTACAAAAATGACATCATCTCAACACTTTATTAATCAAAATCATAATATTTTAGTTTATCATTTTATGTCTTTTTATACTTATCAACTAATTCAACAATTAATTTTACAAAATAATTTTATTCAACTAGTTAGTTTATTACCTACTAGCTTCTCAATTTTCAGTAGTTTGTCAAACAGAGTCATCTTGATCACAGAAATTATATTCCTATGTATACTAACCTGTCTCATTTTGCTTTTCTTCCTTTTGTCTGCAGGCATCACAACTCCATAGACCTGGGTAGACAACTCTAAGGGGACATGTTGTGTATTGTGAACAAAATAATCAAAGAATTCAGTAATATATACAGTTGCTATAATAATTTGAAATAGACTACTGTATTTAAATATTTAACTACAAGTTGCTCTTATATATCCAAAGATAATCATCTATAAAATTAAATAAGATTGCAACCTTTCAAAAAAAAAAAAAAAAAGATTGCAAAGGATTGCCCACCCCCCCCTCCCCCCCCCCCCCCCCCCCGAAAATTGGATTACGCATACTTTGGTATGGTACCTGAAATTATTTTATTTTACCCCAATTTTTTTTTTATGCATTTGACTTGTCAATAAGTAGTTGGTAATGTTTGTTGCATTATTTTTCTCTCCCTCTATAAAATGTAACGAAATTTCATAATGAATCAAGCTAAGGCCAATTCAAAGCCAACTCAAGAACAGTAGAATCGGGATTAATCAATAATGTTAATGGAGTGTAGAAGCCAACACAAGCAAAATTATAAGAATTAAAAGAAGTGTACGTACGTGTTATCTTAATAAAAGTTTAAATGCTTTCAAAAAAATTAAAATTTTAAATAAATAATAAAGACTATAATTTTATTATAAATAAATAAATATACACACACAATTACACAAAGAATCATTCTCTGCCTTACATTCGTAAAATTCGGACGAATAAGATAAAAAAAAAATAAAAAAAAATGCAATGGCATTTTGTTAGTTATCGCCAACTTTTAAAAAAAAATGCTGTGGCATTATTATAATTATCCCTAACTTTATCGTGCAACTTTTAACACTATACAATGCACTTTTTAACAACATAATGTGCATTTTGGATAATTTTTAAAAAGAGTTAATTCCACCGTACCAGAGGGCATATGTCTTTGGTGGCAATTTCAAATTTAGTCTCAGACTATCGTTTTTGTCATTAAACATTATCTCAGACTATTATTTTTTGGACACTTTTAGTCCTTCTCATTCTTTTCCTATTTTTAGTAAGGCATTTTTGTCTTTTCATACTTTTCTATTATTATTTTTCCAGTTTCAACCGGTTTATTAATTGGTTTAGGACTTTAAGTAATCTCTGATTTTTAGTAATCATATTTTTCAAATCGATTTTTAATAAAGTCTTAAACCAATTAAACTAGTTGAAACTAGAAAAATAACAAAAGAAAAATATGCAGAGACAAAAATGTCCTTACTAAAAATATGAGAAGTCATGAAAAGGACTAAAAGTGTCCAAAAATAATAGTCTGGGATGTTAAATGACAAAAACGATAGTCTAACACTAAATTTGGAATTGACACCAAAGACAAAGGACCTCGGGTGGAATTAACTCTTTTAAAAATATTAAAAAAACACTAAATTTTATAGCTAAATGATTGTTAGTGTTTTTAATGTTCAAAAACCCCATATTATAATTGGCGATATTATTATGACATAACTAAGATAGGTTTAGAGTTTGTCCATCCAGCTCTACAGTCGACTGATCAATCAGAAGCAACAACAGAAGGACTGACACTGAAGATCTGATTTAGGAAGCTGATTTCTAAAAGTCTTACGCGGTATTATCAGACAAGTTTGGAAAGAAGATCAGTGTATATTTTCAAGAAAGATATGGACCTAATCTTCTGAGATTACATTCCCCTTTTATAGTCCTACCTTCTACAATCAAAGTCTTCTATGGAGAGAGTTTATTGAAGAATCTATAAGTACCCTTACTCGAAGAGATTTAGGGTTACGCCGAAAGTATGAAGAAACACTCCCCATCTGCTATATGAGATTAGATCTTTGATTGTCATGCATCTTCTCAATACAATATGTTCGTGGTGATTAAGATGATGAACTTGAGAAGAATCACTACTGCTTAAACGAAAGGACACTGTGATCACATTGTTGTGGGAACAACATTAAAGAGCGTCATTGAAGTGGACTGCATCAGAGTGGGCTCTCCAAGTGAAGGGATTTCATTGGACTTCTGTATGCATGGCTCTCCATCTTCAAGAATCCACTAAACCTGTGTAGATTGGGTTTGTACCTTGTGTGGGGCACTTGGGTAAGATTATTGTATATCTACCTTTGTACATCAGATTATGATTTAGTGGATTGGACGCCTTTGTGATCGTCCCCCAGACGTAGATACACACTGTATCGAACTGGGTAAATATTGTGTGTCGTTGAGTTTGTGCTGTTATCTTTCTCTTCATTCTCTACATGATTTAGTTTTACTGACTATCTTCAAAACTGAATCAATCAGTAATCTCTGACAGTTGTCTAATCCTGTTAATTTATCAAAAAAAGAGAAAATGCAAAATTACATGTGGTATCAGAGCTTTTAAGTCTACATAGTGACTTGATCCGACGGGTCGTTTTTAGTTTTGTATTATCTCTGTCTTTCGCAAGTTTTTTTCTGTGTGCTCGTTGGCTGGTTGTTTGTATTCAGGATGGATGCAAGTATGAAACCGCCAGAATTAGATGGTCATAACTACTCTTTCTAGAAGGCTCGCATGGAGATATATCTTCAAGCACAAGGTACCAGGGTTTATCGTACTGTCCTAACTGGGTGGAGTCGTCCCACTACTCAGAATGCACAAGGAGTTACTGAAGATAAGCCCATGGAGACTTAGACAGACGATGAAATGAATGCCTCAGATCTAAACAACAAGGCATTAAATTAAATTGTAGGATCTTTGCATGAATCTGTGTTTACTCTTGTCACAGGAGTAAAAGAGGCTAAACGGGTATGGGAAATTCTTGAAACCACATTTGAAGGAACTAGTGATGTCAAACAGTCAAAGCTACAAATGGTTCTGTCAGAATTCGAGGCACTCAGAATGACTGAAGAAGAAACCATTTCGACCTTCCACAGTAGGGTTCAGAATCTTATGAACCGAGCCTCAATCCTTGGAGAGCCATTCACTGATGAAAGAGTGGTCAAAAAGATCATTCGATCTTTACCTAAACTCTTTCGAATGAAAGTAACTGCTATTCAGGAACACACAGGTTGGGAAAAGAAGACTGTCGGAGAACTTATGAGAAGCTTACACACATATGTACTAGAAGTTCTTTCTGATGATGATCTTGGAAGCAACACAAAAGGAAAGTCAGTGGCCTTTGTGGCTGAGGCTAATCGAGAATCTGACACAGACGACATAGATGATGAAACCTTGGCACTTTTAACCAAGAATTTCAAGAAAATCTTAAAAGGTTTCAACAGAAAAGGTCAAGGTCAGTCTACCAGGACTCAATACAAAGGCAACAACTCCTCCTATCAAAAGGTTGAAACAGCACCTTTCTCACAGAACAATCAACCTCAGACTGGTCGATCAAGACAAAACAGAACCAGTTCCACAGGCACAGGTAAATCTCTCAACCGGTCAGTGCAGTGTAGGGAGTATGAAGGATATGGTCACATACAGGTTGAATGTGCAACGTATCTCAAAAGGAAAAAGGCTATGTCTGTAGCCACTTTAAGTGACGATGAGGAGGAAACTTCAAATGATCAGTCAGATGATAACGTGGGAAACTTTGTAGCCTTCTTTACTGCTACAGACCTTCAGTCAGACGGAGACCAATCAGATGAAGAATCATACATATCGACTGAAGATTTTGAAGAGAGACATACTCGAAACAGAATTTGCAAAACTTGTTGTTAGCTGGGAACAACTTGTGAAAGTGAATAAGAATCTGAATGACGAGCTGAAGCAAAGAGATGATCTTCTAAAGAAACTGAATACTAATCTAGTCATAAAACAAGATCTCATCACTCAGATAAGGTCCAGAGAAGGAAAACTGATCAAGGAATTGGAGAGTCTGAAGAAAAATATCCAGATGATGGACACCACATCTACCCTAGATAAGATTCTAGACTCTTGCAGAAATCCGAATGATAAAAAGGTTCTGGGATTTGAATGAGGTGAATCTTCGAATAACGCACCTAAGTTCATCAAAGAGGGTATGTCTAAAACCACAGTTGATCACAACTATGAACAAGGACAGTCATCTCAGTCAGTACAGAACAAGGGAAGGAGATACGACCAGACTGCTGATACTGGCCTGGCCAGATTAACTCATCAATCTCATTATTCAAGGTTCAAAAATAAGATTGTCAAAGTTAAATATTACACCCCTATCTGTCAGTACTGTCAAACAAAAGGTCATACTCGGCCTGAGTGTTATTTTTTTACAGAGATCAAAGGAAGGAAAAATATCAGAATAAGACCATTACACCCTTCACTAGACAGGTTTGGGTCAGGAAGTCAGAAGTTATCTGCTACCCCACCATTGTTCTGACTGCATCTACA